TGTTTTGTTACACAGCATCATCAGGCAACAGCTGACTGATAAGAGATTACATCAAGCTGACAAAGAAAGCTCCTGAAATACAAAGAACTGCCTTGCCATAGAGCTGGGCTGCCCTGGTGGCAGGGCCTCCAGAGAGGAAGCAGTGCAGACTACCACCCCCACTCCACTCAGCCCACCCTACCATAGCCCCTGCCCACCGCAGGCACTCACCTGAGTCTGAGGCTGCTGGGCTCACCAAGCTGAGCAGCTCCCGCTCCTTTTCATAGTCCCCTTTGCAGAGCAGCTGGCCCTCCTTCAGGACAAACTCATCACCCTTCTGGAGCTGCCGCTCGCAGACACAGCAGCAGAAGCAGCTCAGGTGGTACACACTCTTCTGGGCCCGCATGACAAACTCATTGGGTGCGATGGCCTCGAAGCAGCCCCCACATTTGACAGCAAACAGCCTGGCAGGGGAGAAAGTGAGGACATGCACTGTGAGTAAGGTCTGGCTTGGACCTTGACTCCCTTCAAGTCAACAGCAAAAGGAGCTTCATGCACTGGGACAAGATGCTTGGAATAGAATGTAGTTTAAATTCAGGTTATTTATTCCCTGCCACCATCCGCCTGTCAGCTTGTCGTACTGTGGTGGTTTGCATGTTGCTGTGATGCTAGAGGCTATGCCACTGGTATTTCAAATACCAACAGGGTCACGCATGGTGGACAAGTTTCAGCAGAGTTTCCAGACTAAGACAGGCTAGAAAGAAAGGCCTAGTAATCTACTTCCAAAAATTAGCCAATAAAAGCCCTATGGACCACAACAGAACATTATCCAACTCATTTGCTTTGGACACATAATTAGGAAGGATCAATCAAGGGAGAAGCACATCATGTTTGGTCAAGTGGAGGGCAACAGAGGGCATGGGAGACCCTTGGTGAGATGGAATGGCACAATAGCCACGATAATGGACTGAAATATGCCAGTGAGCATGAAGATGAGGCAAGACTGAGCAACAGTCATGTTGTGTTGTACATAAGGTTACCAGGAGTAGGGTCGACTTGAGGGCAGCTATCTATCTATCTATCTATGTATCTGTCTATGTATCTATGTATCTATCTACCTATTCCCTGAAGAGAGTGAACTAAAATCAGTCAGTTGAGTTACTCTATCAAAAGCTTAAGGAAAGAAGGGTGAGAGCCACTGGAAGACGGGCATCTACACTAATGTATATTTGGTATGGTCTATGACACAGAGTTCCCAAAGGTTGTCTGCAGACTGGTGCCAGGCAGGCTTCCCAGAATCCTTGGGGGAGCTGATTATTTAAAACAACAATAACAATAGTAACAGTAATAAAAAGAAAGATATCTGGGCTCACTCCTATCAGCATGTGAAAGACTGTAGCGTTAGGATGTTTTCAACAAGCTCTGATGTGTAATCTAGCTTTCAAGAGATAAACTTGGAAAGATACACTTCAAGAGATAAACTGCATCCCAACTTCCCAGCCCTCAAACAACTAGATTGAGTTGATACTGTCTCTTGGTACGTAACTCCTATTTCATTTCATTGTCAACAAGCAACCTAAAGAGTGTCTATATATGCCAAGCCAGAATAGTAGGTACTAGCAATGAGAAGGTGAATAAAAGCAAATCCCTTCCCAAAATGAGTTCAGGCTAATGGGAGAGACAGACATGTAGAGATAATTAAAGTAATGAGGTGGGGGAGCAGAGGGCTATAGGGACACAGAGGAGGAAACAACTGTTAGGGAGCAAGATGGGGGTTTGCATTTTATTCTGTATTCAATACATCTTGGTGAAACCAAAGACTGGCGAGCAGGCAAGCTGGCAGGCATAAAGGGCTGGCGGCAAAGAGGAAGAAAGCCTTCCAGGAAGAGGGAACTGCCTGTGCAAAGGCATGAGGCTATGAAAGTGCAGGTGTGCCCAAAGCATGCTGTGACTCCACCAGGTCAGAGAGCAGGCGCCTTGAGGGGGGTGGCAGGTGAGGTAGGTCATGACCAGATTGCTCACCAAAGAGCTGGACATCATGTGTGCAGCAAGCAATAGGGAATCACTGAAAGATTTTTTTAACATAAGATCCATGTTTTGGAAAAGGCGCTTTTGGCAGTTTGAAGGGTGGAGTGGAAATGGAGTTAGATGAGTAAGGGAGCACAGCTGAGCAGTGATACAGCTCAGAACTACTGCAGCATCAGGGAAGCTGGAGAGGAGGTGGCAGAGCCCATAAGGTGGAGACTGGACTCAGGAATGAGGAATAGAGCAGCGTGGGGGATGGCTCCCAGAGCTGGTGTTCAGAGCAGGTGGGTGATGAAAATGTCAGGATTCCTCTATACAACATTGCTGGTTTCCTACTTCTGGGCCTGTTTATGCCATTCCATCCTCCGAGAAGGCCTTTCCTTCTCTGTTTAAGCTACTAAATCCAACCCCACCCTCAGGACACTGTAGCTCCCACCTTCTCCTCAAACTCTGCCTGGGCCTCCCTGCCCCAGCCCAAAGCAACTGCCCTCCTTTGAATCCCTGTAACATGAACTGTTTGTGCTGGCTGTCTGGCAAGTACGTGGAGACATTTCAAGACTATGATACAAAAAGTAGCAGGATCTGGAGGACTGAGTTCTGTTCTCAGCTCTGAAGAGACCTCAGGCAGGTTGTTGGGCCCCGTTCCACCTTTGTTTCCTGGCTATTGTTCAAGAGATGAGGCCAGACAAGCTCTTCAGGCTTTAAAAGTCCTAGGATCATTGCTTCGTACTGTTGATTGTTCAAGAGATGAGGCCACACAAGCTCTTCAGGCTTTAAAAGTCCTAGGATCATTGCTTCATACTGTTGATTTAAAACAGTATTTCAACCTTGCCTTATTATTTAACTTTTCATATGTCTATAACTTATCTTGGCAATAGCTTGTATTGTTCTCAGGAACAAGGCCTATGGAATATCTGTATATGCTCACATGGTGAGTATTCCATAAAAGTTGATTTGATTTGGCCCGTGGACCTAAAATTTGTTCACTTGCTTCCTGAAGTAATGTGTAAAGAACCTCCCTAGCATGGAAACTGACACATAGTAGGTGCTCAGTAAAGGTTGCTTCCCTCTTCCCTGTCACCCCAGATCAATAGTTCCAGGTAGTGGATGAATGCCTAAAATTTAAAGCAGATCTAGGTTTCTCTTTTTCTTTTTTAAATCGCCTCACAAGAACAGAATTGCTTTTGTCAAGGCCTTTGGCACAAGCACAGATATAATGTACCCTATAAAGTGGCCTAAAAAATATCTCCGGGTATATGGGTATTCATCATACTATTTACAAAATAAAGAGTTGTTTTCTTTTTTAAAGTAGTATCACAAGAGAGAAGAAGAATCTCTCAGAAGCACTCTCACTGCCTGTCCCTACATACCAGAGGAGTCAGTAGATGTGGAAAGGTGAGGTGTTAGAAGGGACAGAATGGCAAGAGTGGATGGAATGGCCAGAGTAAGCTCCTAGAACACAGAACTCCACACTCCTCCCTTCTTCGCACACAAAGACAGACCAGAGCTGGCTCAGAGTAGATTCAGTGAGATGTTGCCACCTTCTCTGCTAACGAGCCCCACCTTGGCAGGAACCAAGGACACATGAATAACTGGAAAGCATTTTCTTAC